CCGGATTAACGACTTTTGACTGTATTAGTTTTAACATTTTTAAGTTTACCAGCCATAACTTTTAGAGTAATATCAGTAACACTTAAATTGACACAGTCAGGATTATGTGCACCAAAAAACTCGCACTTACCATTATATATCCTTAATAGTCTATCAGCGAATCCGCGTTCCCTGGTTTACAAGTTTCGAAGAAACTGAATATGTTGTTCAACACCTTCAAAGTTGCTCATTGTTTCCAAGTCTATATCGATCAGCGTAATCCTATTTTTTAACTTTTCAATGTTCTGTAACACACACAAGTAGTCTTCTAATATTAAAGTTTCCGCATTTATTACACACCCCAATTATCTCCTAGATATTTATCATCCCTAAAACGATGCATTTCATCCATTAACTCTAGCACATGGTTCCTAACCACAGATGTATCCATTTTAGCCATAGGGAGTTCGTTCCCCACCATAGCATGTGGTCACTAATCTTTGGCAAAATATCACTATTCACTGCACACAAAAGTCACACAATTTAGAAGTAATCCACATACGCATAAGTCCAATACGATGAAGAAATAGCATAGAATCTGATTATCGTTCCATGATATCGCCTCTCGCTCTGGTCGACATCCAACTTCTGTCATGTGAATATGGAATCAATGGGTTGCTGAGGGTCGTACTGAATGGTACGCAGGATCTCAATACCCTCCTATTCCCAACATTCGAGAGGACAAACATACTGTGAGGTCATCCCTGCAAAACCGTAAAACTATATCACGGGCCATTAGTCAGGAAATGGGTAGGTTTGCAACAGCTAGGACTATGAGCACAGTGACAATTACTACGACTTCCCATAATGGTGCAGCCTAGAGAGAGATGGTGATTCTGGTGCGCCGAATGACAAAGCTGTATACAGGAGTGGCACAATGTTGTCTTTTCAGATCAGTCCCGGTTCTGCGTGCAGTACTTTGATGGTAGTATACATGTCTGGAGGTTCCAAGGAGACTGCACATTGCCTGCTTGCATTCAGTATCAGCATAGGGGGTCTACACCTGGTGTGATGCCATTGGGTACATGAGAAACACATCTCTAGTTTGAATCAACGATAATTTGAATGCAGATTGTTACATTTCTGGTATCTTACTTCCAGTAGTTGTGGTCTGTCTTTGAGGCCTGCCAAACGCAATCTTCCAACAAGATAATACAAGACTACTTGTTGGACGTTGTGTTCATATATATAATATAATTTGCAATATCTTGATAGCTGTAATAGGTTCAGTAGAGATACAGCTGTAATGGGTTGGAGAAGTTTACTGCGTAGATATAATTATGACACTGCAAACAAACTTGGCTGAAGACAAGACATAGTTTATTGCAGGGCAACTAATTCTTGATACACATATTCTTGTTCACACATCATCATGAGTGCGATATACACTGCACAGTTTTGTACAATTTAGGTCATCTTTAGATTATAGATGGCACAGAGAAACGAGCAATGCATTTTAGCAGCAGTGAGGCAAAGCAGGAAAGCATGCATTCAGAAAAAGTGAGATATAAAGCCAAAAGTTTCTTTAATCTGATTGGAGAAAAGATATCAGCATTGCTGTGCATTACGTAAGATGGCATGATGCAGATTAATTTTGAAATAATGCATTTTCAATTCATATATTATAAACAGTTACTATTTTTAGGACAGGAGAGGGAAGTATCTAAATTAAAATGAGGAATAAACAATGACAAATTGAAGATAAAAAGTGTGTTTCCATATTTTATAATGTAAAATAAAATAAAAATGTAAAGTAATGATTGTAAAATGTAAGATGGCATGATGCAGATTAATTTTGAAATGATGCATTTTCAATTCATATATTATAAACAGTTACTATTTTTAGGACAGGAGAGGGACATTCACAAAGCCGCTTGGTATATGTCCGAAATATTTTCCAAATACTCTTATTTCTGACTTACACCGGTAAATGTCGACATTCACCATGTACTAATGGTGAATGTTGAACATATAAGAATATTATATTTTCTTCTTTGTAATTCAGTCGCAAAAAAACACACTTGAAACTTAAAATAAGAACATAAGAACTTAAAACACACAGTACATTCAAAATGAGAAAGGAAAATATTAGAAGTTAAAAACTTACTAAATTATGTGATTCAAATCTTATTTATTGCAACAACTTAAACTATTATGACACTTTGAACTGCACAAGGGTCCCTTGCTTTTACAACTGCATTTATTTGTTGAACACTTCTTTTTGCAATGACAGCGTATACATATACTTCTCTCTTTTCGACCTACACCAGAGCATATCTGTGATTGTCGGCATGCACCGGTGAGGGTCCGAATGTACAAGAATGTAATGCAATATTCGATCTTTCACTGACATATTTGGTGAATGTTGACATTCTCCGGTAAAAGTCGACATTCTCCAATTTTGGTCTTTCATGGTCACATATATATTTCATATACTTCTTAGCACTAGTTATTTTTTCTTAATCTGCAGTGTACCATATACAGAGTAGTGACAGTTTTTAGTCATTTCATTGTCAAATGCTGATTGAATAACATAGTTTAATCTTATTGTTTAAATGTTTTTATTAGGTTTGTTATGACCTTTTACTAGAGTTCTCTAAGAATAACTTATCAAATGTTCACAATCATAAATTATTGTTTTTCAAATTTATGAAATGGTGGTTATTTAATATTTTTACAAAATGTCAAGGCGCGGTGAGATGGCTTCCTCGCAAAGCAGTTTTAGGGTTGCCATAAAATGGCAAGAGAAGGCAGGGTTGCCACATTTGTTGAGAAATTGCCCATTTGGTGACAAAATTGGCGATATGCCATGGACTGATGGAGAACCTTCTGGAACGAATTCTTACCGGTTTAGCTCAGAATGTTCTCGAACACGAGCCGAAAGCTATATAAACCCTGCTGGTCCGCAGTCAGTTAGTTAGAGTGTGAATGTGTCTCGTCTATCGAGTCAATCAAGTTGACAGCCATGCAGCGAGTGCTGAGTGGGTCGTTGAGTTCACCGAAGGAGTCTCGTAGTTTATCGTGGTGAGTACATCATCGAGAGAGCGTGTTGAGCTCCGGGAACGACTGAACCAAAGAGTCGGGAGCTGTGCTCGTGTGTCGTCGAGTGCATCGCGAGTTGTAGTGCGGAGAGTCTCGAGAGTACGTGGAGTTCCGAAAATGACCAAGCAGAGTCAGGAGTTGTACTTTGGAAAGCAGAGTTGGGTGCTTTGCAGGAAGCTGTCTCCACTGTTATTGCCTGACAGTCTGAAGGCTGTGTCACTGATTGTTCCACCGTGTTTATAGTAGATCTTCGACGACTGTAAAGTGTTATTGGAAGCTGTCCTGATTAATATTGGCTAAATAAGTGTTTTGATGCTTCATCAAGTGTCATCGTTATTCACTCCAAATCTACGAACCCCGTAACAATATTGGATTAATAAGTGTGCAATAAAAAGTTTGATTTTATAATTTGTTCTTTCATTGCAATGTATATTATGTATTTTTACTTATGGTTAAGTTAATATCTAATAAAATGTTTTTATTTCTTACATTTTCTTAATTTTGTGATATCAGATATAACATGATATAGTTCCTCTACATTTATTACTGCATAAGTTTTTAATTTAATTTTTTACTTTAATATATGTCTTACATTTACAGGAAATTTTCTTGATTTTCCTGTTATATTTCAGGACTTATAATAGTTGTGTTTTTTGCCAGGTTGTAATGTTTTCTTCCCTATTTGATGTATTTTAGCTTATTTCTTGAAATGATTGTTGTTGAAATGGTTTTATAGTTTTTATATGTAATAATAAAAATGTTCTACAGTCAAAAGTCGTTAATTCGGACACCCGTAATCCGGAATGATCTATAATCCGGACCTCAAAGCTAAAATCTTTCTGCGCATGCGCCGCATTGACGCATGCGCATAGGCGTTTTACTCGTGCGCGCAAGACATTTACCACTGCGCATATGCATCTGCGCAAGTGCAGAATACGTTTTCGCGTGCGTGTTTAATGTATAACGGACGGTAAAAGGTAAAATTATCTAATTATCTATTTCAGTTAATGTTGATAATTGCGTTGTTCCTTAATCTTCAAATTGGATCCGGCTTATTATTTTTTGCAGACTGTAAGAGCAACTTTCTAAAAGTAAGCTTGAACTTTCGATTATGTCAAATAGAATTTCCGATGCTGGAGCTCCCAAAGGATCTAGAAAACGAAAGTATGTTTCGATGTCCATCAAACAAAAAACGAATTGCTACAAAAAATGGATAAAATAAAAGCATATCCTTTTTGTTTATCTAACCGTTCCGAAATCTGTTTATCAATTTCACGCTGCTCTGCGCGGGGGGGGGGGGCACTTCGCGGCGCGCAATGAACTGGAAGTTGATCTGTCAACACTATCGTTATCTTCAGGGCAGATGTTTTTATTTAGTCGGCTTATAATTCCTTACTAAATGTAGTATTTAATTTCGATGTACTCCGTCTTTGATATGATTTAAATCAAATTCCTCGTCATTATAAATATCACGAATACAAATCACATAGTTTTTCTGGTTGCAATTTTCTAATTTCGGCTATGAGTAAGGTATGCTTTACGCATCCGCGCGTTAAAAGAAATGTTTAATAAAGTAAACAAATAAATATTAGGCTTCTTTTTTGGTAAATTTGGATACCCTTTAGATCATAATTGCTCATTATTTTATAAATTACGGTTTCATATTTTTAATTTTATAATTTCTGCATGCCATCTTACCAGATTTAAACTGATGATCTATAATCCGGAAAAATCGATAATCCGGAATCGCCGAAGTCCCGACGAGTCCGGATTAAAGACTTTTGACTGTATTATCCTTTTTAACTTAGAAGCATTGTAAAATCCTGATTTCTAAATGTATTTATTGCATGCATATGTAAAGTCATAACTGAAGAGGTTTTTTTTTTTTTTTTTTTTTTTTGTCAAACTTTTTTATTTAGTGAATTTGGAAAAAACTTTTACAAATATAAAAGAGCAGTATCATTTCTGGCAGAATTAGATTGTTACACGAGTTTCTCGAAGTTGGCAAAGGAGGAAAGATTTTGCAGGTTTGAACTTTTAATGATTATTTACTTTTAAATATGTAAATAATGTTTCTCTGAGAAGAAAAAAAGGTCTCTTGACTAGATATAAGGAGTGTGTTAAAATTTTATTTTATTTAGCACAGTAAGTTGTTACGTCATTTCAGCACTAAAATATCAGTTTTTATTTATTTCTTTATTTTTAAAATCATGCGTATAATAAAACTAATAATAAGAAATGAAATTAAAGAGTTTATCTTTTATTGTCAATTTAACTTTTATTTTACTAATTTTATTTTAAAGTCTTTTATCTCTGAAATTTATTTAAAAATAAAATAAGAGGATTTCATGTTGCATGTATTGTTGTCCCTTCTAAAAATTATTTCTCATGTATATATATTATTACATGAACACATATTAAAAAAAATAAATAAATAAAAAATTAAAAAAAAAAAACTTTTTGCAAAATGTTAAAACAACTACTTTTTATTTAACAAAGTGGGTTTGCCCACCTTCAGGATGAAAAAACAAGTTTCATTAATATTCAGAACAGCAAATTCAATCACGAAGATAAATATTTAAAACACCTACTTTAACTGCTTAACTTGGTCCTATAGCCAGACTATTAGAACAACCTTATAGGTACCTGCATGTTGCAAACAGTTCAAGCAGACCAAAGTTTTTTAATTCAGAATCTTAGAGGATATAAGTATCTGAAAGCTGCAAACAATTCAAGGAGACTAAAGTTTCTAAATGTTTGAGATGGTAGAGAAAAAGCGTAGAAAAAACACCAAGCTTGTCTAAGTGTCTGAGTTTTATATTGCTTTTGTGACTGTTGCATTGAGTTTCATTATACAAAAACCTGAATTCTATTAATAAGGATACATGTGTTTCATATCATTGTTCAAAAGAGAAGAGAAAAATACTGAAGTAACATATAAAATTAAGCAAAGCAATAAACTTGTGTTTTGTATAGATTTTAGTTGAGACTCTATTGATTTCAAGGACGAACAGGTACAGATCTGTTTTCATCAGGGGCAAAGAAATCTGCCAAAACAAAGCATCTGAAGCAGATTTTGTTGCTTCTGGTGAAGAGGGACTTGAACCTGTTTGCCTTTGAAATGGATGGAGTCTTAATTAAAATGTATGCCAAGCACAAGGCTAATTTAAAAATCAAACGACAAAAATCAGCATTATATTTACAAATATAAAGGTGATGGTTTTTGTTGTTTAATTTTTAAATTAATACTTGTTCGATGTGTTATTTTATCATAAGCACAAGGGCTGTTGTTTTGCCTAATTTTATATCATTGTTATTTATAGGAAGATATATTTCCCCCCCCCCATTTGTCCGTACCTTTTACAGCTAGCTTTACAGCTTTTACCGTAAAATATTCTACAAAAATAAACATAAGGAATGAGTTAAATTAAATTTTAAATACTAATGGTATACTAGTATGATACTAATGGTAACTAAATGTTTTTTGCATTCGTTTTACAGCTAACAAAATCTCAAAATATAAATGTAAAATAAATGTAAGGAATGAGTTAAATTTTAAGTACTAATGGTTAAAGCCTGGAACTAAATTTTAAAATAATTGAGCTATAGAACATAAATGGATATTGTTGTTTTAATTCTATGGCATAGAAATATTATGCATTATATGGAGGGAACAAGTTAATTTCATATTTACATTGGTTGCTTTTTAACTCATAACTGTTTTGTATATAGATATCTGATTCCCAATTGGTATGCATTACAGGATGAAGTATTTATTAAAAAGAAAATCGTATTTACAACCTGTATAAAATATATATACCTTAAATTTCAAATTTGATATTTTTTGAAGTGCCATATTTTAAGGTAATTATTCTGTAAAAATTAATTATATATTATAAATTTGTTGTTTTTGTCAAAGTTAAGGAATTTGGATAGGGGTTGTTCAGCCTATCAAATTGTCTAAGCTTTGAAAGCTAGAATTGAAACATTTAAAGTTATTGTAATTGTTTCAGATAAATCAAAATGTAATAAATTGTGAATATCTTATTATGAATTAGATGATGGTGAGTAATTAATATAACTCATGTGGAAATAAGACAATGATGGTGTATATGAAAAATGTGTGTAATAGAGGTGAATACTATGATTTTCAAGAAGCTGATAAGTAGAAATCAGAGCTGTTTATTATTTTGAAATATTATTGAGAGATACCTGTTTTCATTCATTATACAATAATCTAATGCTGATTGCTATCATAAAGCTATAAATGCAAGCTCTGTGACTGCAATAAACGTAGGATTTACTGCAATATTTTTTTTTTTAAATGTTAATTTAATGAGATCAGATGGACTTTAACTGCAAGTTGTTGTATAAATGGCAATATTTGCCATAACAGTGCACTACTAAATTTTTAAATACAATTAAAGAAAAAGTATAAACTAGGTAGATTCTGCTTCCTAATAATGAAAGAAGTGGCTAAAATTAATGTCCATTTGGATATTTTCAGCTGAAATCTGAAACTTTTCAACCGGATTGCAAACAAAAATCAAGTTTTTTTAGTTATACTCTGAAGCCATTACCACTGTAGATGATAATTGTGCACTGAGTCGAGGAAATTTAAAGATCTGTGTATAAGTGAAATTTGTATTTTTTATTATCAGGTAATGAGCAGTTTGTAAATGCATGATGAAAATGTATAAACTAAACTAAACTAGTGGCACAACAGCCCTAGTGGGCCACGGCCTGCAGTGCTCTTTTTCTGCTATCTTGACTTTTGGATCCCGTAGAGCATCAGCATATGCCCTGGACAAGTAGTCAGCTTGTCGCAGGACAGCCCCCCCGGTGTTTAGTCCCCAAGCGAACTTGGTACTCATTTTATTGACCCACTTAAGGGAAAGGTGCCCAGCCCGGGGATTTGAAACCCGAACCTGTGGTGCAGCTGCTTGATGCGCAGCCACTTCGCAACCGGGCGGTCATGGTGAAATGTAGAAACTTTTTTTTAAATCAAATCTCTGTCTTTTTAAGGAGTAAGGTATTTAAAGCTGTTGTGTTTGACACCAAAGCCATTAAGCAAATTAATAACTGTCAACATCAACATTTTGTTTTAGAGTTTGTAATTATTTATATTCAAATAACATCTATTTTAAAAAAGTTCCTTTTATTTTTCAACTCTAAATTTGAATTGCTTGTTCTCATTTATAATAACTTTTAAATTTGATGTATTGCTGACAGGCCACATTTGTCTGAGGCAGATGATCGCAACTTCCAGGTAGAACAGGGCTGGCATCCTGTTATCTCAAAATTAATGGGTGAAGAGCATCAGTTTGTTGCAAATGATTTGAAACTAAATGTAAGCAGCTGAATTTCTTTCACATAAGAAATCTTTTGTAGTGAACAAACAGATTTGTGAAATTTGATATGAAAATTTAAAATGCTAAGATCTTTTAAATTATATAATTTTATTCAATTTTTAAAAATATTTTATTGTACTTTTCAATATTATTTTTCTGAAAACATTCATTTCGTGAGACTGTTTACATTAAACAGATTTCTGCATGATTGCTTTAAATGTGCAGAAAATGCTAAACGTAAGTATGTATACGTTGAGTTTTTGAAGTTTTTGATTTATGATTTCATTTAATGGGACTTTAAATGCTTAAAATGTCATAGATTTTCTAACACAGTCAAAAGTCTTTAATCCGGACCAGTCGGGACTTCGGCGATTCCGGATTATGAGTTTTCCCGATTATAGATCATCAGTTTAAATCTGGTAAGATGGCATGCAGAAATTATAAAATTAAAAATATGAAACTGTAATTTATGAAATAAAGAGCAATTATGATCTAAAGGGTATCAAAATTTACAAAAAAAAAAAAAAAGCTTAATATTTATTTGTTTACTTTATTAAACATACCTTTCAGCGTGCGCATGCGTAAAGCATACATACACATAGTTGAAATTAGAAAATTGCAACCAGAAAACTATTTAATGTGTATTCGTGATATTTATAATGACGAGGAAATTGATTTAAATTATATCTTAGTACATCGAGATGAAACACGAGGAATCATAAGCCGAATAAAATAAAAACATCTGCCCTGAAGATGAGGATAGTGCTGACAGATCATCTTCCAGTTCATTGCGCTCCGTGACGTTTCCCCCTCTCCGCAGAGCAGCGTGAAATTGATAAACAGATTTCAGAATGTATAGAGAAACAAATCACCTCTCTGTCACTTTCGTCATGCTTTTATCCATTTTTTGCAGCAATTCCACTTTTTGTTTAATGGACATCGAAACATGCTTTCGCTTTGTAGATCCTTTGGCAGCTCCAGAATCGGAAATTCTTTTTGATATAATCGAAAGTTCAAGCTTACTTTTATAAAATTGCTCTAAAGCCCCGTTCACATGCAACGCTCCTTCGCACAGCTGCCGTTAGCAAGAGGAGAAAAAGGAGACATGAAAGAGTTTCGTCTTTAGGACCCGTTCAGAAGACCACCGTCTTCCTTCCCCTTTACACCTAAGCCTCTGTGAACAATCACATCTCCGAATTGGCAGATTTCTAATACTGTTTACACATTTTTAACGTTGTTTACCATTGTTAATTTTGTAATCTGTTCTTTCGCAACTGGTACCTGAACTTTCGTAATGGTTCCTGAAAAATATATGCTTTTTAATTATTATTATTATTATTATTATTTTATAAGCTGTTACTTAGTTCACTCTTGGTGCTTGTCGCTATGGTTAAAAGATGGTCATGGATTTTTAAGTTGCTTCCTGATAAGATGTAGAACTCAAACTTTGTACGTACACTGCTTGTGGATGTGGTGTCACGCTTTTGATTTTTAGAGGATTAGATTTTTTTTCAAACTTAAAGTTGAAACGACTTTTTGCAAATATTAACAAATAAACTGAGAATCTCAGAATATTATAGTTTGCACCATAACACACTGTGGAGAAAAAAAAATTAAATGAAATTTTTAGCGTAATTTTTTTAAAAACTATTTTGGGAGAATTTTTAAAAATCATTCATATTTTTAGGCTTTTTGACATTAATTTTAAAATTTTATATCTAAAAATATATCGGTTACAATCTTCCGACATTTTCGCAGATTATAAAACAAACTTTTCGCATTTAAAAAAAATGATAAAGGAAATTAATTGGATGATTTTTTTACTTTTTTGAAAGATATGCAATGAAGCAGAATGGGAAATATTGGTTCTTCTTGGACATTAATTCAAAACATCGGTTTCAAAGTAATAATCTCCTTATACCACACTATTTTTATGACATTATTTATGCGATATAAGTTATTATTGTTGCCAGTTGTTAGTTCAGGGTGAGATTGGAGATATTTCTGAGTTAACTTTCTCTTAAGATGCATTTTGCATTCCGTTGTGTTTATCGTTCTTATTAGATTGAAGCATAACTACTGATTATACTTAGTGATATTCTAAACACTTGTACAAGTATTTCCGTGGAAAATTCCAGAACTTTGAAGTGTTTATGTTGATAAAATAAATTTATCAACATAAACACTTCAAAGTTCTTAAAATGTCTGTGTCTTAAAATAAATTTAATTAAGCTATCATCGGATTTGAGTGCAATGACAATCATTCACAAATTATTATCAATCTATTACAAACCCGTACACACGCAACAATATTATAATTAATTAATGTATTAAAATTGTTTTGAACGTGTTTTACAAAACAAAAACAGGTAAAGAAAAATTCTGCTTGCGTTTTATGAGTTTTTGCAATTTTTCTAGCCACATAAAGTTTTAAAAAAAGGTTTGTAATTTATGTTTATATTTACTAATTGAATAAATAGCACTAGGTTTGATTTACATACATATGTGTGTATTGAAATTCAGTAATAAAATTTTAAAGATTTGAAATGATTAAATGTCTATTCAGACAGTTTGTATTCTTTAAACTGCAAATGCAAACTGAGAAACCTTTTGCATTTTTTTCAATAAATCCTTTTACTTAAAGTTCTAAAACATATACAGGTATGGACTAAATTTTTTATTATTTTTACTGCTTATTGAAAATTATATACTTTATAGAAACAAAGATGGGTTTTGCAAAATACTGAAAGGAAAAATTATTTGAAATGAAAACGTGACTGAGATCATATTTGTTTTAAAGATTTTAGATAAAAGTGTATTTTTATTTTTTTCTCAGAAACGAATTCATTAATTGCAAAATCATTCCTTGAAGTTATTAAGAACACTCTAATAAATACAATAAAAAAACTGGGGGGAGACATAGAAAATTTTAGAAGAAGAAAGACATTTTAATTGTACAATTTTTCCTCAAAAATTTTAATTAAAAAAAAATTACCAGCAAAAACTTTTTTTCAGCTTAAAATTATTTTGTCTCACAAAACCATTTAATAATATTCATAAAAAGTAGATGAAAATGCTTAATTAAAAAAAAAATCATTCAAAAGGTACCGAGTCCCTTGTCACGTTGAAGCCGATATGCACTTGTCTTAACTTTAGTTTTAATTTGAACGACATTTATGGAATACCTAGCATCAGATAACCTTGTCTGTATTTTTCTATAATTTTCGTATCTTGTACAGTTCTATCTAATTTTGGGGGGGGGGATGCTATCACATCCCCAGACATCTATCAGCACGATTGTTTCGCTGACAGTCCAGTGAGCAGTAACTAAAATTAAGTGAACTGCGCAGTATCGTACAAGAAATCTCCCCATTTGCCCTGCTCCGGAGAGGTAAGGAACATTCAACCAAGTTCTACCTCCAATTCGGCGAGGCAGTTAATACTTGTCCCATGTGTACGGGGCACGTTGGAAGAACCGGTTTTCGCTACCGGTCGAATCTGCTCTTGTGAAGGCTTAACAGTCTGCAAAAAATAATAAGCCGGATCCAATTAGAAGATTAAGGAACAATGCAATCTGCAACATTAACTGAAATAGATAATTAGATAATTTTAGATTAGCTTATACCGTCCGTTATACATTAAACACACAAACTTTCAAACTTATTAAACCACAAACAAAATTAAACCATTTAAATTAATTTCAACAAAATTAAACCACAAACAAAATTAAACCATTTAAATAAATTTCAAACAAAATTAAACCACAAACTTTCTGCACATGCGTCAACGCATTATGTGTTGATGCATGTGCAGAAAGTTTGTGGCTTTGAGATCCGGATTATAGATCATTCCAGATTATGGACGTCTGGATTAAAGACTTTTGACCGTATTGACAAAAAAACTGTCACATTATTCAAATATCTGGCATAGTTTGCAGAACTGTTTTTTGTCATTTACATGTGATGAGAAAGGTGAATAAGGCTAATATGTGTCATAATCTTTAGTTTTGATGCGTTGAGAGCTGAGGATTATCTTTGCTTCAATAAATTTGCTCCCTGTTTGTGCATAGATTTTCTTGCACATATGCTTTTCATGAATGAAGCTACTTTGACATGGAAAGGAAAATTTAACATTCATAGCATTTAGACTGGCATCATTAACAAACTTTTTATTGAGCCTTAGCTCTTATCAAATTGATATAAGGGAAAGTTTTACCATATTTTTCTAGAAGAATCTTACTAGAGTTGCTGCAATATGTTCTAGTGTTTGTCTAACATCAAATGTGATATCAGCATGCTGGGGCCTCTGCATTGCATTTTATTGTGAAAGTACACTTTAGCTTTAATGTTACTTTTGAGGATCAAAGAACTAAAGTTTCTTTGCATAGAACTGGCCACCATTTGAAAAGTGTTTGAAAATGATTCTGGATTTCTTCTCATAGGAACTTCTCATAGGAATCTGAAGAAGAATCTTGTGTATACAAGAAGTCTTACTCGCTCTACTGAGAATCTTGTAGTCAGACGTTTTTTCACTACTACTACAGTGTATTGATGCTTGGTATTTTCAAGAATCGATGATAATCAATGTATCAGTTTATTGGGCTTTTATTATGGTAGCTGTTTGCTCTTTTAACCTTGCCTTCCCTTGTAATAGTCTCTCTTCACCGTATGTTATACTACAAATGTATTTGTTTTGATGTGTTGTAATACATTCTGAAGTTTGTGCTATGATTCAGAAATACTGTATACATTCAAATATCTAATGACATTGGCAATTGAAACAACTACTTTTTTTCTTACTAATATTTCTGTAGATACTATCAGATGCAAATTTTTTTTGTGGGTGAGGTGGAAGTAGTTCATATCATTTTAATGCTTGTTTCTATAGATCATCATTTTGCTTTATTTTAAAATACACTCTGTTGCAAAATACTATACGCATCCAGAAAGAATTGAATCACAAATATGAAACTCGTCAATGTAACTTTAATTACTTTGCT